GCTTTGCGTTTGTTTAGCTAATAAAATATTAAAACTCGATTCAAAATGGTGTACAATTATTTAATTATGCCATCCTGGTATCGCGGGCTCGCTCTCGTTTCATACAAACGCAGCTGCTGCCATTTTGCTACGATTGTTTTGTGCGCTGTAATGGATTATAAGAGAACTAAGAAACTGGTAAGATTTTAAAACGTTTTCGTCTTAATTCTTTTATTGCCTTAATTATTTTTGTGGTGAAATGTTGTGTAATAAGTGGTTTGACTGCACCGTTTCCCTTAAATGTCCGTCTAGTTTGAATTTGCTGCTTGCTCGCAACTGCTGTCTTCACGGAAGCTTTGAGTTCAAATATTTCAACTCAAATCAATATTTCACGTCTAATTATTTACTTATGTGGCAAGTAGCCGTGTAATAAGCGGGATAATGTACATCCAGCCGGTTGTTATCTCAGAATAAACCCCGACAGGGTGATCAGGACCCCTTACATAATAAATAGACACAGCACACACACACATATATTATGTAAACAAAAACTTTTATTATGGATGCAATTAATCACGATTAATCGTTTGACAGCACTAATAATAATAAACATATTAAAAAATAATATGAAATGTATTAATTAAAAAAATAATTAATAATATATATATATATATATATTTTTTTTTTAATATGGAGAAAAACGAAGAACTTGAATAGACAAAGGGTGTTGGATAAATACCATGACACAAGACAAACCAGGTAGCAAGACATGAAAACAGTGCTGCTAACACATATCTGGTTAAATACATCACACAGTGATTAATTATGATTTTTTTTTTACTCCGATGAATCTAAAATGCTTACTGAAACAGCAGCATCACATCAGTAGTGAGTTCTCTTCTTGTCTTAAGTGTAATGACACCTCACAAAGCACTGCAGTATTTAATTCTTGTGCTGCTGGTGTCATAACCTGGCAAACAGCTTCCTGAAACAGACTGTAATGAGTGCAGTGTGGCAGTGCAAACCCCCTGTTGATTGTGCTCAGTTGAGTTTGAAATAATTTAGCCTCCGCTGCTCCTGTTGGCAGTCGCATTAGAATGCTGCTAATGGCTTTGAAGAGCTTAAAATGAAGCCGCATTTGGGTTAATGTTCCATTTTAGATTTGTTCATTTAAATATTGCAAGCACACAACTTCAAGTGATGCCTCCCAAACTGCTTGATGCAGTATGGACAAAACAAACAGTGTTTCCATCAAAACCCATGTGGGCTATATCAGGACTGAGCACTGCAAAGTACAATGCCATTATAAAAACCCTTGAATCTTTATTCTGCAGTGCTAGTGTGCTAACCTACGCTACTGGTGTCTCTCTTCACACTACATGTACTGTTTGTACTGGTGGTTTATTCCAGTAATTCAGTGAGTAGATGGAGTTGACAAGCAGACGTCAATGATCAGGACTGCAGCACATTATTTATCATTTTTAGAGCCCTGCTGAACAGTGTGAACATGGTCTGTGTGCTTTGTGTGCTCATGACCTGAGATCAGTTGTAAACACGCATCTAGTCATCTCCTTAATCTCTCTCTCTCTCCACACACACACACACACACACACAGAGAGAAAGAGAGGATGCCTGCTGGTTTTGACAGCTGATCTCTCCATTTCTCTCCTGCTCAGATATTCCACAATGTGGAAGTGACACAAGGGATACACCCACTGGAGCAGCAGCACTTTTATTAAGTGTTTTATCACCAGCTTTAGCTTTATTAAAGCATTACTGTGACACCTGCAGTGTTACATAGTGCTTTGCAAAGTATTAACCATTTCTCTTGTTTTCTGAATGACAAATCTCTGATTTATTGTACAGTATTACTATTTTTTTACATAATGAAAATGTTTTATTGTCATTAGTTTTATAATTATAAAACATTTAAAACATCTGTAATCATAAAAGCTTAAATTATAAAATATTAAACATTAAAATAAATTTTACATATACAACATTCCAAACAAAATACTGATTTTTTTTGTAAAGGTGTAAGTTGTAACATTTTACAAAAAGGATAATTTTGCTAACAGTAGTATCAATAACTAACAATGAACCATTGTAAAGCATTTATTATTCTAAGCTAAATGTTAATGTGAATAATCAAGAATATATTTATAAACTCACACTAATAAATTCATTGTTGTATTGTTCATTGGTAGTTAACAATAACATAATAACCAATGAATTAACTAATGTTAGCAAATTGAACTTAAGCAATGACTTCATAATATCTGGTTTGGTGTTTGTGGTCACTGCCATGTTGAAATACTTCAAGCTGAAGTTTATTAGTGGACTGAGAGGTTCTACTGCAGCATTCCCTGTATTTTGCACCATCCATTCTTCCTTCTGTTTTAATAAAATGGCTAGTGCACAAAGCATGAACTACCATCATCATAATTCACTGTAGATATAGTGTTTTGTGGCCAGTATTAGATATTAGACAAAGTAAATCACATTGAATTTCAGTTAAAAAGCTATATCTTGGTTTCGTTTGACCACAAAATATCTTTCCCACATCACAAATGGGTGAATATTATAGTTTTTGGCAAAACCCTTATGCGTTTTCACATCGTTTTTCTTGACTAATGGCTTCTTTTGGCCACCCATAGATTCTTTCCTTATAAAACATTTCATACTTTACTCTTCACAGGAATGCTCTTTAACCTATTTTCACAGCAGTTCTTCAGATTTACAATCTAAATAATGATC